ATGGACAGAAGAACCTGAGGAGCTATATTTCATAGGGTCACAGAGAGTCTGACACAACTGAAGTGACTTAGCACACATTCTTAAGATTATAATAAGAATTTAACGAGTTAATATGTAAAGGGCTTAGAAACAAGACCCAACATCCAGTAAGTGCTCAACAGATGCTGACTACTTAGTATTTGATTCTGTTGAACTTCAAATAGTTTAGAATCTATATGGTAAATAATGGGAGTTTTGAATCAAGGCCTGCAAAGATGTTCCACAGATATTGCAATCCCCCTTCCAGTGTTCATGCAAAATCATAAATTGGTTATCTTTGGGTCAGAAACCAGCATCTGGCTCTAGAGCTGTTCCTGAAGAATCTGTTCAAATGGCTCAAAATCTTTTGTGGGGGCTTCGGGGTTGAAGCATCTAAGACATCTTTCCAACATCTTTCATTCAAAAGGAAAAGAGGCAGCTTGAGCATCTGTTCAGACATTCATTCACTCATCCATCCATTCAGCCATCATTTACTGAGTACCTTTTTTATTCTAGGCATCATGTTTCTATTAACTACATCTGGAATGCCAGTAAGTCACCCCTCTGCCCATGTGTTGGCTGAAAGTTTATTGGATAGAATTGTCACTGTTTAGTTTTAAGACAATTCAAAGCTATTTCTGTGGCTTGTGTTAAAATCCTGAGGTTTCTTCTTGTGCTCCACTTGGTACCACTGCTGGGCTTTTTAGTTTATGGAGATCTGATGGCTCTGGATGTGGTTGGGGATCTTCTCCTGGGAATTTCCTCTTCCTTCCCCTCTCCAGCTTTTTATAACTACATAAGGTTTAGATCTGTTCACAAACACTTGGGTAATTATGCCCCTCTCTGTTTATAAACTCAGGATAAATTGTCCTAATGGAAAAATATCTGTCCTTTGCCGTAATTTGGATCAAGGCTTTTAATTTTTTGTTTGTGTGTGGTTCATTTGCCTTTCTAAAAATCATTTTGATGTCTGTTTCACTTATGAATCATCTATTGCTGATATACAACAGCACTCAGTAAACCCCACTAAAAATCTATTCTTGATCTAAAAGCATTTGATGCTGGGAAAATGTAACTCACATATGCCTTTCTCATGGATACTGAATTAAAGGAAACAGTTGGATTTTAAGACTCTTAGGGAACATCTGATAAGAGGCCGATAGAAATGACCCACCAGAGCCTTGATCACCAGTATGCTGGAAAAACACAATTCAGCTCAATTTGCTTTAAAGCATCAAAGTCATAATGCATTTGTATTCATTCATTTAACAGTCATGAGACACCTACTATGAGCAAAATTAGACTATAGATGAATAGGTGTTTCTTATTAATAAAATATAGATAGATTTTGATTAGATTTTTAGCTTTGTGGGAGACAGCAAAGCATACTTCTGATTAGAAGGCAAAGTCAGCCCTTCCTATATGCTGGGGAAAAAAACAACTATATTTCCCAGGTGATGTACATGTGTGGAAGACTTGGTTTTTAATCAGTTTGCACCAACAAGAATAAATGCTTTCTTTTGCAATGTTTCCTCCCTCCCAAGAGCTAAAACTAATCAAGGAGAGGCAGTAGTTTAGTGGTTAAGCACACCCTTTTGAGTCAGATTAAATAGGTTTGAATTGGGACTCCAACATTTACCAGCTGTGTTACTTAACCTCATTGTGTTACTTAACTGTGTTACTTAACTCAGTTTCCTTGTGTTAGAGTAAGGCTAATAATTATATCTACTTCACAGGGATACTGAAAAAATTAATGAGATAGGCAACCTACATAAAGTAGCTAGCACAATGCCCAACATAATTGTAGGAAGAGTTTAATTCATAGCTATTATTATCATTAGCATCATCAACTAATATTTGTGTGCTCATTAAACAAAAGGAAATGCTGTCCTGGGGCTTCCCTGGTGACTCAGTGGTAAAGATCGCACCTGTTAATGCAGGAGACTCGGGTTCGATCCCTCTAGTGGGGAAGATCCTCTGGAGAAGGAAATGGCAACCCGTTCCAGTATTCTTGCCTGGAGAATCCCATGGACACAGGAGCCTGGTGGGCTACAGTCCATGCGGGTTGCAAAGAGTCAGATATGACTTAGCAACTAAACAAAAACAACAATGATACCCTATACATAGAAACTATATAGAGGACTGCATCTATAAAATATGCTTACCAGTGTCAGAAGTTGAGCGTATTTTTAGATATACCCACCCAATAAACCGGAAAGGATAACCTGGGCTCGTCTGGGATTTGAATCCGGGGCCTCTTGCACCCAAAGTGAGAATCATACCCTTAGACCAACAAGCCACCCCTCAACATACAGAAAACTAAGATCATGGAATCTGGTCCCATCACTTCATGGCAAATAGATGGGGAAACAATGGAAACAGTGACAGACTTTTTTTGGGCTCCAAAATCACTGCAGATGGTGACTGCCACCATGAAATTAAAAGACACTTGCTCCTTGGAAGAAAAGTTATGACCAACCTACACAGCATATAAAAAGAAGAGATATTACTTTGCCAACAAAGGTTCATCTAGTCAAAGCTATGGTTTTTTTTAGTAGTCATATATGGATGTGAGAGTTGGACTATAAAGAATGCTGAGTGCAAAAGAATTGATGATTTTGAACTGTGGTGTTGGAGAAGACTCTTGAGAGTCCCTTGGACTGCAAGGAGATCCAACCAGTCCATCCTAAAGGAGATCAGTCCTGGGTGTTCATTGGAAGGACTGATGTTGAAGCTGAAACGCCAATACTTTGCCCACCTGATGCAAAGAACTGACTCACTGGAAAATACCCTGATGCTGGGAAAGACTGAAAGCGGGAGAAGAAGGGGATGACAGAGGATGAGATGGTTGGATGGCATCACCATAGGCTCTGGGAGTTGGTGATGGACAGGGAGGCCTGGCGTGCTGCAGTCCATGGGGTTGCAAAGAGTCGGACATGACTGAGCGACTGAGCAATAAACAAAGGTCTGATGAGATGTGTGAATATGTTTGAAGAGAGACTTGTAGTCTCACAGCACCCTGTTTCTGACTTAGGGAACATAGATCTTAGGACCCCTGCCCCCCACATTAATGGGGTGATGAGGACTACTGCAGCCCTAGAAGGAAAGGAAAGGAGTTCTCCAGCCTGGCTTCTGCCTAAACATGGAAGCCTATCTCTAGGATGGAGCCTGAGAAGTGAAGACTGCACAGTGATGTCAATGTCAAGTCAGTTACCATTAGCATCAAGCACGTCCTCTTTGAGTCTGACCCACATTTTAATGTTGCATTTTGAGTCTTACCTCTTCTGTCTTCTGTAGAGATGAACAACAGCTGGTCGGTGTCCTCTTTATAATAACCTTTCAAATGGGAGGGGAAGACTGTTAAGTTTGCCTTTAGTCACTTTTTCACTCTAGACTAAACAACTCCAAATCCTTTAACCTTCCCTCATAGGTTCTATTTTCTCTCTCTTTAATCATTTTGGTTTTCCTCTGGACCCTTTCCAATGTCTCCACTTTGCCCTTAAAATAAGGGGCCTCAGACTGGATCTACCATCCTATTAAGGGTCTGTCTGCTGCCAAATTCTTTATCATTGGGGAGGGAGACATGGGGATATACTTTCCTTTCATGTCAGACTCCCAACAAGCGAATTCACCCCGCTGTTGTATTGCTTATTTCTTATCAGTACAACACACAGATTCCTTTTAAATAACATGATCTGCTGTGATCCTCACATCTTTGTCAGTTTTTCTCCAATCTAGATATTAAGCCCCTTTTATGCCTGTCATTTGATCATCACCCTCAGGATACTACTTCTGTAATCAGCCGTCACACTGAACTTGAAACTTTATCATGAAACATTTCCTTCATGTGTTGAAGCCAATTTGGATTCTCCTAGCATATCAGTAATTCCCACTGCAATTAATATTATTTGTAGACTCTGGGTGTGCTCAAAGCAATTTTAAGTATTATTTAAACCAGAGCTAGGGTAAAATTGGAGGCCATGTTTTAGGCACCCTTTTGTTTTCTGAGCCATTGATCTCTTTTCCAGTCTGCAGTAAAACCCGGTGAGGAAAAGACAGACCAGATCGTATCTTTCTGGCTTGCTGATGAGAATGTCATATGCATTCAAAAGCTTTCCTGAAATTAAGATATTGTACAGATGTGGTCAAATTTTAATTCTCAGCACATACACACCCTAAACTGAGCTTAGGCACAGAGTTGGTGGGGGAAGAGGGAATATTTATTTGCATTATGCTTAAAATCATGGATTTCCTTTAAACAGCATTGATTTGCACATCATAAATTACATACCAGATGGAAGGAGTAGAGAGAGTTAGAAGAAAACTGGAAGTGGAGAAAGCAATCAGAAGGAAGAAAGGGAGCCCTTCTGAAATTATTATTAGAAGATTATTCAATTTGAACCTAATTCCCATAAAATTTATCAGATATGGAGATGCCACATAAAAGTATGCTAATGAATCCACCAAGAATACCACCTCCTGGCAGAAGAGAGGGAAAAGGGAAGTGGGGAGGAGCTAACATTCACTGGAACCCTTAGAATATATTGCAAGGCAGTCACTTTCTGTTAGAGACTTTTGATACACTTGGCTTTACCTAAAATCATCAGCCTAACTTGCTTTGACCCAGGAATTGCAATATTTTGAGGACTGGCTTGCGAAAGCTTGTTCTTACTGGGCACATGTACTGTTCTCTTAACCTCCATTGTCATTGCTGGCTGCAATGCCCATCCCTCCTTGAGATATACTTTATCCTGGGGTCTTGTGTCCTTCCAGTATTTCCAAAGGAGGTCTGTCTCTGGGTTTGCTGTTGTGCCAACCTGAAGGAAGCAACTGGGACTGGTGATTATGATCAGTACTTACCATGTGCTCTGTGGGCTGCTTCCAAGAGTGGGCAGATGTCCAGGAGAGCCTGGACATGGGTTGGCCCCTCCCAGGCTCTCATTACCCTTTCCAGTGGCAATAATGATACTGAGAACTGAAGCTTGCTTTTGCCTGCTCCTTTTTAATTAATTGCTTTGAATTCTACCAGATTTGTCCATTGAAGAACTGTGGGATACCCAGGAAGCAAACCATAGCTTAGAGACACAGGGGTGGGGAGCAGGACTGGGGACAAGATTCTGGCATGAACCCCATGGGGTGGGGTGAAGTGTGTGCCTGTGTGGCACGCAGCTTCAGGCTGTAGGGAGATTTGTGCCTTTCCACCACAGGAGGTCCCCAGATCTGTCGTTCCCCCTGGGAGCTCCAGCCTGGATCCCTTCCGAAGCCAGGTGAAAACGTGTTTTGAGCAGAAGATCCTTGATGGTTTGAGGTTTGGCACAGCGATGCTTTTCCTTTTCAACAAGTGTTCCAAGTGGGAAAAAGGAATAGAACACAATTGAAGTTTTGAAAAGCAACCTCTTCACGCAATGAAATGTGGGGCGACCCCACCCCCCTCCGCAGGCCCCCACCCTTGCTCTAAGAAAAGCAAACACTCTTTTCCTGTCTTATTTGTATTCCCATTAATTTAAGACAGGAAGCCCTCAGTGGGTGTGATGTAAACAATTCAGCCTCGTGGGTCGGGCTTCCTCATCAGCTTGCAGCTGGAGAGACGTCTGCGCGGCCCGAGCCCATTCATGCCTCTCCGGGGGATGGCTCGTTGACTGAACCCCGCAGAAGACGGGAGGGGCGCGGGAGCCCGAAAAGGTATAAAGGAAATGCTTCAGTCGTGCAGTCACCGGCGATTGTAATTCAGCAGTGGTGAATTTGGTTTCTCCAGCAGAAAGAATCTCACTGCAGCTTTCTGGAAAGTTGCCTGCTAGCTTGCCCAGTGCGATGGTTGTGATTCTGGTGTGGGGCTCCCCCTCACTCCACCCCACCCCCAGTAGGGACCCATGGTGCCGCCGATTATGAAACGGAGCGGTTATGAAATGAATTGATTTCGGGGAGCTGGAGCTCCTCGCGGCGGCTGGAGGGAGAACTTTTGACCGGGCGAGGGTTATCTGGGTGGGGCTTTTTTCTTCTCAGACCTGCTCCCAGTTACCGCTGGAAGCTCCGGAACAAGTTGACAGAAACAAAAGGTGTCCGCATCAGAAACCCCAAACTCCCCGAAATCTCCCCGGGGCGGTTTCCTTTTCCGACTGCGAAGGGGGTGGGGGTGGGGGGAGTGACCGGGGAAGGGGTTCTGGAATGCCGTGGAGTTTTGACAAGTGAGCCAGGGGAGTGACGAGGCGAGCCGGGATTCCATTACAGTCCTTTTCAAAACCTCCCAAGCTAGGCTGGCGGAGGGGGAGTCCTCCCGCAGACCTGCTCGTCGAGAGGAGACCCCCCCCGCCCCCCGAAGGTGACTTCAGAACTGGAGGTAGGAATCTGCTTTGGCAGACAAAAACCTCAGATCCGTCCCCCATCCGATCCGGCTTTGGGGTGCCGACTGAGGCTGCCTACGGGGGTGTGGAAATTGAGCCCCAGCCTCCTCGGAGGAAACACCCGCCGCCGCCGAACGCCCGCGGCGCTCATCTCCCAGACCCCTTGGGTGTCTTGTTTTTCATTTGGGGGATTTGCGTGTTTACGGATGGTTTGTGCTTCTTGGGAGGAGTACCCGACGAGGTACTGGTTTGTCAATTGCTAGACGGAAGGAGGCGCCCTGAGTGTGTGTATATGTGTGTGTGTGAGCGGCGGAGTGGAGGGGAGAGAGGGACAAGTCCGGGGGTCTCCAGAGCCAAGGTCCTGACAGTCACGCGGAAAAGCAGTGCTGTTGAAGTCCAGGAAGCGGGAGAGGGTGTCCAGCAAACAGGCATCTGTTAACGCTGCCCTCATCCCCTTGCTGCTCGCTACGGCCAGCAGGGAGGGAGCCTGGCTACAGCATAGCTGCCGCTCCTGCCAGCGGAAACTATTTATGATCCCTCAAGTGCTCCTAATCGCCTTTGGGGATAGATCTTCGCCCTGAGCTACTAAACGGCCTGTTTGGACAACTCCCCCACCCACCCCTAATTCGCAAAATGTTTTGATTGTCGCATCCACAAATCAAAGGTTTTAAAGATGAGGGCTTTGGGGAAAGAGAATGACATTTTCTGTCCTGTTGCAGCTCTCTTGTAAGCAGTTTGTAAACAGTAGGAGTGAAATTAAGTCAAATTTTGTCTGATGAGATGGGGGGGTTGGTAAAGAGGAGGAAACTACAGCTGTCACCCTGGGAACCACTTCTGGGAGAATAGATTTCTGTGAATGTAAATAGTAAATGCTTTTCATAAAAATAGGTCAGGCTGAGTTATATATCGTAAGGGGGATGGCATAAACTCTAACAGAGAAGTATCTTTAAATACACATAAAATACAGTACTTTCAGCCTTTAGCCTTTGCATTCCTATACTGGAGGAGCATGGTAGGCTACAGTCCATGAGGTCGCAAAGAGTCAGACACAACTGAGCGACTTCACTCACTTACTCACTCACTGTTTTGCAACTGTACGTTGACTTTGCAAATGAATTGAAAAGGTACAAGGGGATCTGTGTTTGTGCTTATTTGCTCAGTTGTGTCCGACTCTTTTCGACCCCATGGACTACCAGGCTCCTCTGTCCATAGAATTTTCCAGGCAGGAATACTGGAGCAGGTTGCCATTTCCTACTCCAGGGGATTTTCTGACCCAGGGATCGAACCTGTGTCTCCTACATTGGCCGGTGGATTCTTTACCACTGAGCCACATGGAAAGACCCACAAGGGATTTTCCCTGCCACCATATGCTAATCTGGTGGTTAATCTCACTAACCTGTAGAAGGCCACAGAACTTCTTTTACTGAGGTGTTAACAAGGCCCACCTACAGTTAATTGCTTTCAGGGCTGCTGGTCAAACCCATTGTCCCTCTTGTTCTGCCTCTGGGACCCACAGGTAGGTGAGCTTTAGGAAACCAGGCCTGTGCCAGACTCTAAAAAAAAGAGTCCTCAGAGAGTGCTACACCGAGAAGCAGCAGAAATAGGATGCACCAGGTAAAGTGATGGGGAAACCAGTGTGGACCCAGGGTTTCAGGCTTGCCCATGCCCTTTCAGCCTTGATCTCTGTGAGCTGGTGCAGCTGAGCGTAATTGTCTGCGGAGATAGAGTCAACCTCTTCTAACCCATGGGGGAAGGAAGACAGCCTGCCTGAAGAGCAGCAGGGTGTCCCCAAACCACCTTTCTGCTTGCCTTCTTTATTCTGTAAGATGCCCAACCACACGCTTGGCACACACAGCTCCCTTTAATCCCCTATCCCTACTAATCTCAGTAACTCAGGCAGGTCATACTCAGTACTTGTTTCCTTGACGGGGAAGCGGGACCCCGTTCCTGCCTGTTTCCTGGGTCATCAAGTTCTTGTCTCGCCTGCTTTGCCAGGTGCTCAGCCTTTGCTGCCTTTAGCATCAACTCTTCCTTCTCTGTCTCTCAGAGGTTTCACCAGATACCTTTGCTGCTTAGAGAAGCAGGTTCTCCTGATCTCTGCCTGGGTTTTCATTCTGGAATCTGATTCATTGCCTGAGCGTCCCTTCTTTCCTTATCAAAGCTGTTCATAGACATAATTGGAAAGTCATACATTTCTAAAAGGCTTGTACATAGAAACAGCAGTTATTTGACCCACCCCTCACCAGCCTCAGCTTCGTGCCCCACAGACAAGAGCTTCAACTTTGCCCATGTTTCTAACTAGCAGGCGTGTCCCGTTTGTTCCACCTGGTCCATCCCTCTGGCTGAGCCTTCTGGCCTCCTTCACTCTGGAGCTGCTGCCAGGGCCAGAGGCACAGTTGTCATCCTGGAATTCCTTATCACAGCAGGGATTCATTTTACTCTTCATGTGACATCCCTTGTTTTTTTAGACCCACCTCTTCCTTCTTTGCTTCTGCTCTCTTGCTCGTAACATCTTCTAGTAGTTCTGAGAAAGACTGCCTGGGAAATAAGTTTTTTGAGATCTTCGAAGTTAGATTAATAGGGGTATGAACTCTGTGTTGGAAGTCCGTTCCTGAATTTGGAAAGCTTTGTTCTTCTAGGTTCAGTATTGCCATTGAGATGTCTGTCATTCTAACTCCTGATGCTTTGAATATAATCATTTCCCCTTCTCTGAAAGATTTTCTTGTCTTTGTAATGTCCTTTCTGTCTATAATGAAATCTCATTCAGTTCACCTTGCTGTGTCTTTTTTTTTCATCAATTTACTTGGCTTTCAGTGGACCTTCTCAATCTGAAAATCATGTCCTTGAGTTCTGAACTGTTTTATGGAATATTTAAAAAAGTGATTTCTGTCCTCTTCTGGAACACATATTAAGTTGAAATGGGGGCCTCATACATTGAATCTCTAATTTTCTTACTTTTTCCCTATGTTTGCTCCTTTTTTAAAAAAAGTTTTACTTCCATATTTCCTCATTTTATCTTCCAACCCATGTATTGAATTTCCATGTCTGTCATCAAATTCCTTATTTCCAAGAGCTCTTTATTTTTTTTTTCCAAGAGCTCTTTAAAAAATCTCCCAGATTTTCTTTTTATAACCTCCTGTTCTCCTTTCATAGATGAAAAGCTTTTCAACCCTCAACTCTCATCAAGGATCACAGTGGCAGTTTCTTTGGAGTGTCCCTCCGCCCCCTGTGCTGTTTGTTTTCCTCTGATTTCCTCTTAGTCTTTGTTTTGAAATCTTTTGCATGTTACAGGCTTTGCTCAAATGTCTGAGGGTCCTGGAACTGACTGCTGAGAAGTTAACTGGAAGGTCTGCACGCCTGGATGGAGCTGACACCCAGGATCAGTTCCACCTTTCCAAGAAGGAACACCTAGTACAGTGTTTTAGAACCTGGAACAATTCCTGGCATGCAATAAACTTTCCATTTAAGTTGCCCAAGTATTTGAATGATGTTGGATCTTGCTAGGGGTCAGGTAGTAGTGATTACAAAGAGCACCCCAGTTGAGTCACATGTGCGGCCAGCTGTAGGATTATCCTGCTCAGGGATTTTATTGGAGGATTCCCACCTGTGGGTGGAAGGTCTTTCTCTCAAAGGAAGCTGAAGAGAAATCCCAATGCTGAGGGGGATTGGTGGCTGCTGCATTCTATGAGCCAGACTCAGATGGAGACCAGGAAGCCAGCATTTGGTATGGAACCTTCTCCCATTTCCCTGTTTCTAAGCATGCCCCTTCTCAGCTACACTGAAGTGTCTCTGAGTCCACTGTGACTCTGAATTCAGCAGAGCAAATAGGTTGCAGAATGCAGGCAGTCACTTTGAAGCCAGGACTGAGAGGGGAGACCCAGGGTCTGACAGCTTCTGGCACAGACTCACAGCCAACTCTCCTGCTTTAGGGCCCCTGACCCCCTCAGTGCCTGGTGTCCCAAATTCCAGAGACCCTGGAGCTCTGCTTCCAGGCTTCCCATCCTGCTGTACTAGGTTTCAGCTTTCTTCCCTCTGCTAAGTCAGTTACCATGGGTTAGACCACTTTACAACTTCCAAAATTTTGTTGCATTGTTTCTTCTTTTTAAGAGTTTAGTGAACCTGTCCTGCCCCGCCCAGTGTAAAAAACTTTTCTCTCATTTCAGTCCATCATGATTTACTGGCAAGTGCCTCTCCCTTCTCTCAGTTCTTCTGTTTTTAACACTTCTGCTGCGGGTGCCCCCTTGAGACAGAATACTAATAGGCCACGATGTACTGTCAGCTCAGCAGTGATCATTAAAGATGTCCAGGCCCTGGATAGAGTGGTTCTTGGGCATTTATACCAGTTATGTTAGCATCTTCTCCATCAGGTCAGTGATTCTTCTCGGTATGTGTGGAGTATCAGGCAGAAGCATTTCTGAATGGGTTTGAAGCTGTGGCTTACCAGAGTTCTATCTGTGAGAATAACCGTAGAGCATGCTAACTCCTGAAATACATTCATATTCATTTCTTCCTTTGGTCCTGGCCAGAAGCCTGTTGCAGGCTCAGTGGTCACATGGACCTGGTAGCATCCGTTATGTGAGATGATTCGTTCACTTCATTTGTGGTACCTCCATCCCACACCCCAGGGATGTGTACAGGAAAGAGTGTGTGATCCAGGTCTGGGCAATGAGGTGTGAAGGAATGTCTTTTGCGGAGCTTTTTGGGGGAAGTGTGCTCATTACCAAAAAAAAAAGACACACAAAACAAACGAACCTTTTGCTTTCTTGGCACGTTGCTGTCTAGAACTAC